TTTTTCTTGGTAAAAAACTTGGGGTGACCCTTTTTTTTACCCCTTTTTTTTTTTTAAAATTTTGGTTTAACCTTGGGGATTCCCTTTTTCTTTAAAAAACCCCCTTAGGGGTTTCTAATAAATTGGGTTACTTTTTGGGGTTTTTTTTACACCACTTTTTACTTCGGCCCCCCCCCCCCCCTTCTTATCCATTCCACGTCACACTGCTGCGCCCCCCCCAATATCCCGGCCCGTGTTTTCGACCCCACGTAGCCCTCCCTTCCTTGCTGAATCACCCCCCCCCCTCGATGCTTTATGTACCAGACCCCACGGCCCAATGGACCAGGAGTTCCAGGTTGGCATGGGGCGTTACGTGGTTGGACTCTGCTTCGGTGTTGAGCACGTTCTGTTGGCCGTGGTAGCGATTCTGTGGATGGCCATTCCCGCGCAGCCCAAGGTACGTCATCCTTCCACTTGAAGTTGTACCGGCATGCGTGTAGAGGGTGAACCGGCGGTACTTGAGCGCCGCTGTCGCAGAACTGCCCCCCAAAGCACACAGATCGATTTCGACCGTCACAAGATGCTTCCCCCCGTCCCTCTGCTGCCCCCGTGAAAACGTGATGCTCGATTTCCAGTGGGTGCGGCAGAGGGTGGCGCGCGTGCACTTCCTGAGGGAGAAGGGGGCCCGGCTGGCCGTTCTCAAGAAGCACGACTAATTTCGTCCTATTTTTGGCTCGATTGCCCGGACGTTTGGTTCGATTTGCCCACTCTCGGCCGGTCACTGAACGTGAAAGGGTCTAGACAAGGAGAGTCGATGTCCTAGGGGGGGGGGGGGAGTTGTTGTGATTAACACGTCGCTTCGGTCACTTTGTATGTTCATGACGTGAGGGTCTAGACGAGCACAGACAAGCACAGTCGATGTTCTGGCAGCAGCCTTTGCAGGGTTTTTGTATTGAGGAAACATGTTGGATAAAGCACACAATCGGGGAAGTTGGGTTAGGATTACAATAAGGTTAGGAAATTGGGTCTGCGTACCCCCTCCCTGTTCTATTTCCTCATTAGCTTATTAACCGCGCGGAGGTGGTCCTGGTCTGGGGTGGCTGTGATAGGCAAGTCGCTGCGGTTACGTTTTTTTTTTTTATTGTATGCGTTTTCTGCTGCTTGGGGGACATGAACCGCATGTTTAGGTACAAACTTATAGAAACCATGAGCGCGGCTTCTTTTCCTATGGTTCTGATTTCCGAGGGGTGGAGAGGGGCGCAAGCGAACACGCCCCAAACCCGGGTGATGCATGCTTGGCAGGAGGAGGATGTGTCTCGCTGGGGCTGTTGGGGGGGCGGGGGGGGAATTGCAAGGAGCAAGGAGGAGGTGGATACACCATTTACACGAAGATGACCGTACTTGTAAGCATGGTAGTGAGGACCGGTGCACACGTCTATTGATTCCAGTGTACGCACCGGGGTCTAAAGACTAGTACGTAGACTATCTAGACTAATACTTGCGTGCGAAAACCACACAAGAGCTATATTTGCTGTCCTTGCGGCAGATTGCACTGGCACTAAATACTGTCTCGGAACCTTGACGACCTGCATCAAGCCGCTTCGCTCCGAATCCTGCCAGTGTGAATCTCCTTTACCCGATGTATCACCACCAGCGACGTCTGACTGCTGCATCTGGATGGGGCCATTTCCATCGTGTTCTCGTTCGTTTGCTTGTTGGTTGGGTATGCATAGCGTTTGTGATGATTTTGTGGGTCCTTTTATTTTCTTTTGAACATATTTCTGGGTCCTTTTATTTTCTTTTGAGTGTTCGGCTTGTGTGCCCTTTGGGTGGTTGGCGTGTGACCACGGAAGGCGTCCACCTCAGTTAGACTGGTGCGGATGTTAGAAGGTGGAAGGTGGTGCTGGGAGACCCGAATGTTTTTTAATAGTTGAAGACAACCCATACCCAAACGAAAGAGAGGAAGAGACGTAAACGGCGCATTGACAGGGATCGTTTGTGCTTAATTGTTCACCAAGAGCAATGGTCGGTCTATCCCAAGGACGATATCTAGCGTATTGCCGGATGAACACTGCGGTAGGGAGATTGCAATACACATCACATGCGTGCAACACTACGGCTGTGTGTACTCCGTATTCCTGTGTGCCCAGCTTCGCTTTATCATGTTTCATGTGGGAGTTCTCAACGGCCACGGCGGGATATCATCATCGTTGCGACAATCCGCAACATCCAAAACGAAACGTCATATGGCATAATCCCAGGGCACAGCTGTTGCAAACAAACACTTGGTCCTGTATTGCGTTTCTATATTTTCATCCCCCCACGCGTGGCATGCGCGCTGATCTTGCCTGCTGTGCTGTACTGTGAGAGCAGACGCACAGCTGCTATGCATACACAGCACTGCTGTGGTTCTCAAATGGGATACGGGTACGTATCATAACCCCCCGTTATCCCGAAATCGATACACGGAGCCCCGCTGGAACCGCGCCCGTCACACAAACCCAAACGGCTGCTCTGCTCTGTGCTGTCTCCCATCACCCGCACCGGTGAACGCAGACGAAGGGAGAATCCACAGCCCAACCGCAAGCAACCGCCCACCTTAATTCCGTGGCGCTTCTCCATCAACATGAGTCGCAGCCATGTGAGCAACACCACCCTCTCCCTGGGCTCGACTGGCGAACCCGCCACACCGAATGGCAAAAAAATGGGTGAGAGAAGGAAGAGAATTCCACCTAAAAGCTTGGCAAATCAAGAGCAGTTAGAGGTAGAGGGCGCGCGCTTGGGTGACCGTTGCGTCAAACCGTTGCCGCGCACAGCAGTAGTGCTCAGCATGACGTGGATAACTCGTGGCCAGTGGTCTATGGTTGGTTTTTATCGTGGAAGGCCAAGAGCGAAGCTGCTCGCACGGCAGCCCGACAAATGAATCCGATTGTGTATGTCATCACCAAAAGGAAATAATTGATCGCAAAGAGAGGCGAAAATGGAAAGCTCTCGACGACCCAACAACAGATTACCACAGAGGTAAAACTCAGGGAGGAGGGTTGGTGGATCACTTGTTTGATCCTAGCTGACGAAAAGAAGAGTAATTCAACGCTTGAGCTGTCAGCTGCACCGAAACTTCAGGCCAGGATCTCGCTTTCATATGTCATAGGCGCTCCCAAGTCACCCGAGTACAAAATCCGTCCTACGGCAGCAGCAGCCGGGCCGACCATATATTCCAACAGCAGTGTAATCCCAGCTGCAACTACTACCGTCTACTAACCGTCGGTCTTATGCAAAGCCCTTCAAATCCTGAATACTTGCTCGCTACCCCTCCTCCGGTATGCCCCCCCCCCCCCCTGCCAGTCTGGAACCGGCGTAAGCAGCAGTGGATAGAGGTGGACGTGACGGAAGAGTCTCCCAGCAAGGCCGCCGCCGCCTCCCCGACCTCCTCCACCGCCCTCTCCTCCAACGCCTATGCGTCCGGGGTGAACCAGAACGCCGGAAACTTCCTCACCGACAAGCCCATCACCCGAATCCACGCGCCGCCGGGGGGCGCGTCCTCCATCAGCTTCGGCGACCAACACACCGGGCCCACCGCGGCAGCGGCGGGCGTGACGACCAAGACGCAGGACCAGCAGGGGCTGGTGCTCGGCACCCCGACGCAGCCGACGACGCCGGAGTCGGCCGAGTCCACGGAGGAGGGACCCGCCCCGATACCCATGATGGAGCTGCCCCCCGCACCGCCGGCTGTCGAGGAGGAGGCGGAGGAAGAGGCTGCGGTGGTGCCCCCGCCGGCACCGGAAGAGGTAGTAGAGGCGGAGGAGGCCGCAGCACCATCATCTGCCGCGGCCGCGGTCTCTTCGAACGCGTACGCTAGCGGATCCAACCAAAACTCGGGGAACTTCATGACGGGGCGCCCGACCACGCGCGTTCGCGCCCCGCCGGGCGGGGCCAGCTCCATCACCTTCGGATGATGATGATGACGACGACGATGATGATGGTGGGGGCGCAATCCCGTTCTTCGATGGTAGGGTGTACGTGTGTGTTGGAACGTAGCTGCTCCTGGTGTCGCGACGGCACAAGCGAGACGCCGCCGGCGGTGCAACAAAAGATACACGAATCTTCTCCTTTTCAAAAAAAAAAAAAAAAACGCCCCGCGGTCATCACTACATGTAGGTTGCTCTAGAAGCTTACGAAAAGGCCGCGGTGGCACTAAATATTTTTCGTTTGTCGACTTGCGGGATGATCTTGTTTTCGGCGTCGCTGGCGGCGGGTGTCGTCGGGGTGAGAGGGAGGGAGGGAGAGTTACGACGAGGGAGTGAGATATTTCCGAGTGTGGCGGGGCAAGGAATATCATGACCGTACACTATTAATGGTAAGAAGTTCGGCTTGAGAGCATCGAACACGCCTTCGCACGAGGCGAACTCCCAAAACTCGACAGGGAGAGAGAGAGAGAGAGGTGTATTTTGTGTTCAAGCCTGGCGAGAGCTCGCGGGTTGAGGAGAGGACGCGAGGCAAAATGTGCCATCCCTACGGTGCGCCATTTGGTGGCCTCTAGGAAAGAGGAGGCGCGCGCGCGCCGGGGGGGTGGGTGGGGGGGTGGGGGGCAGCATTGTTGGGAGGCGTTCCGACCGCTGATGCATTGGAAGGAGGCTGCTTGTACGGAGACGAAACACGCAAGGGGCGGGGATGGTGGAGGAGGGAGCGGTTGACGGAGTGCTGTCGCAGCTTGGAGACCGCCATGCGGACGATTGCGCGTACGCCCGTCAATGTCGGTGAACGGCCGGTGGGTGTGATAGGGGGCGTCAACTACCTTTGAAGCTATGAAGAATTCGAGTGTTTCCGCGTTTGCCGCTGCCTCTGCTGTTCGTGTTCTGTTTCCCACCATCACACCCCTGGCCATGTTGCTTCGTGATTTGTTTTGAGTTGGCATTGCCCAGACGAAAATGGCATCGGCTTCCTTTGCCCGCATCAGGGTGGTATTCTAGTCTCTGCAGAGATTTATGGGTGCGCTTTCTGCTGTACCGCTCATAGGCGACATCATTGGTATTTCTCTAAATTTGCCGAGAAGCTTGCGTTTCGTTTTAGTTTGTCGCCTCTTCTCGTAGAGCAATTCCACCCATTCTACCGCGGAAGCACTGCCGGTAGAGCCTGACGCCAACTACTATCATGGAGGGGGTGTGGGCGTCCTGACGCGGAACATCTTGAGACGTGGGGGGTTGGGGCAGAGAATATACTGCTGTAGCTTTTTTTTTTTGTATTACGTTTTTTTTGGCTTCGTGTTCTGGTAGCAAGACTGTCCTCTTTTTTGCTTGGTGTGATTCATGTACTGCTTGCCACTGCTGCCGCTGTTGGTGGTAATGCTATATTGGGGAGGTGTCATAGGTGTCATGGGGGCGTGCCAGCGAGGGCTGAGCTCGCCACATGACCACTCACTCCCGCAGAAGTCAGTCTTTCTTGTTTAGGAGCATGAAGGATGAACCAAAAAAAAAAAAAAATGGACACCTTGAAAGGTGGGGGAAGACTAACTTCCTGCTTGAGCAGTAGTCCCAGGGGCACCTTAGTTGATTTCTGTCTCTTCCTGTCCTGTTCACCGTGTCACGGCAGTTTTTGCCTGTGGCTTATCCGAGCGGGGGAGTCGGTGTTCTTTTGGTACTATATTTTAGTGTGCGAAGTCCTGGGTTTTTCGTTGGTGTTGTGGTATAATACCTCTGTGGGAGGGTGGCACGCCCGTGCTTGGAATCTCTCGTCGTTGTTGTTTCGGGCTCGGGGGGGGAAGAACTAATACCCTTTGAAGAATGTCCGGGGGTCTACATGCATGGCAGAGGAATGGTGCAGCCAGCAGCCGGGCGGGACTATTCTGGCGCTTTCGTTTTTTCTTCGGGAAATAGGTAACGCTTCCAAGGACGTTAGGCATGCAAGCTAAGTAGAGGACACCATTTCCTCGTGTTGTTGGCTCTTGACAACGATCATTAAACGAACATGTAATTTTTACCATTGACCTCTTCTTTGTCGATTGGTGACGACCAAAATATTTAATGCAAGTGCTTGGGCCTTGAAAATGTGCCGGTACGCCTCGTCAGCCTTGTTGCGCATCTACTACTCCTGCCTGCCCTTGGCTGCTGTGGAGAGGTGGAGAGAAAACGTAATCCGCAAGCAATAACAGTAGTGCAGCTTGCTGTGTGAGACACCGGCCACGGTCTGTGTTTGTTTGAGTTGGCAGCTACTACTACTGCTGTGACGAGGCGAGTGTTTTCCCTGACTTCCGCCCCCCCTCGCAGCTAAGCTTCTGTTTAGAATCTGGCGCAACTGCTGTGTTTTGCTTCGCGGAAAGCTGAAAGTCTCAACACGCACGACACAGCAGGCAAGCAACCCTGCTTCATGCTCAACACACGCGTGGTGACCTTAAATTGTTGGAGGGACCCCCTCGTCTCTTGTCCCCCCCCAATTTTTTGTTCAGAATCTCCTTTTTTCGCGTTTCATAAAAACCCAGCGATCCCCGTGCTTGCAGCACCTCGAACAGCACCCGGGGGGGAAGGTTTGTCTCAAGCCACCAACGAATTATTTCGACGGATACACACGCACCAAGCTTTTCTTGCTCGAGTTGTGACAACAGCAGTCCGGTGCGATCTACCTTTGTCCAGCAATAACGCAGTTGTATAAAACTGCCCCCACCCGGGCCTCTCGCCCCGTCAACAAACTATTTTTACCGTACAACACAGGCTCCGGGTGGGATGATGGACACAGGTTGACCATAAAAAAAAAAGGTTACCCTCTGAACACAAGCACCACGGCGTGAGCGAAAATCCGACCAGCAACGTCGACACGCATTTGTCCGATCTGCCAACAAAAACAAGCAGACGTGTTCATCATGTTGTCCGAGAGCGTGGGAGGCCGTCACCATAGTTCGTTTAACGAAAACGAACCCGCAGGCCCTTTCGAAGATCGAAACTTGTGGCCAACATCTCCATCATCCCCGTGAGGAGACGGAACAAGCACCACCAGCACCACCACTCCGACGAATGGTCGAAACGACACCATTTTTAGCGTCTCGCCCCATCTCGTCCCGTTCAACTCTGACCGCTGCGCCGAGCGAGGTTTTTGGTGCCCGTGTGTGGCGTGGAATTATCAACAAGGCTGAGGTTCCGCCATGCTCTGTCAAGTCTTTGACATATATCTATCTCGGGGTCGACCGTTTGCAGAGTAGTCTACCGTATATGACACAAGATAACACACCCCCTTGGCCGATTTTCAAAGCTCGATTTCTCAACAGCAGGAAGAGTCACGGCGCCGAAAACGGCAGCGTTGGAATCGTCTCATCGAGAAATTTTCGAAAATGTATCGTTTCGTTTGTGCATCCTCTTCGTCGTGGAGTAATCGAGCTTTGGAAATCGGTCCAGGGGGTGTGTTATCTTGTGTCATATACGGTAACCAACTACACACAACCCGATGCGGCTACATCGAATTTGGCAGGTGTCGCGGTTGTTGGTGCCAGCTATGCTCCAAACGAAAGTATATTCGAAACCTTTCCGAGCCAAACCCCTCAACGTATCTATCCCGCAAAGACGCCCCCACTATTCGAAAGCTCTCCAAGTCAACCCCCCAAGCTTCACGTGGCCGTGGTGCAGAGACCACCGAGGCGTTTTGTCCTCTACTGCTGTTATGGCATCTCCACCCAATCTCCATCCTCATCTCCGTCATCGCCGAAGTCTCCGACGTTCTCAAGCCCTTCTAGGTACACGCTCGCTACGTCCGGCCTTTTGGGGCCGTGGGGCAGCACACAACGACAAAACACGGGGACGTGGGGAAAGGCAGGGCAGTGGCGGGTGGTCATGGCTTCGAGCGAATGAGGAAATAAAAATGGCAACGTGCGCGGGCCTTGGAACTCCACTTGAACCCCAACGGGCGGATGGTATAGAAGAAGAAATGTGCACCCCGATCAGGCAGTTTTGGGTTTTACTTTAATTGTGGGTGGCACTCTTGAAGCATGCAAGGATTCCGTTGTTGACTGACTCAGCTCCAGAGTTGGGCTCAGTCAGGTACTTCGATTGTTTCCTGTGGGCGGAGGGTGGCCTTCTCTGCAACTCACCCACCGCCTTTCTTGGGCCTGGAGGTCTATGAATATGCCTAGGAAGTTCTGCATATTCTTCCTGAGTGGTGAGACGCCACTACTGCTGTCTCCTTGTTCGTATTCGCACCTCGTGTTCTTCTGTGCCCTCGGAAAATAGTCTACTTGCAGAGGAGGGAAGACGAGGTGTACTTGACAGGGCAAGGCGGTTTCGAATGTGGCAAAATAAGAACCCAAAAAGCCACATCGCGAAAGATAAAGAAACATGAGCACTGTCAAGAGTACGCTCCCTACACGCGTGTGGGTATGTTGTGTGCGCCACTTTCGACATTTCGAAATATTCATGCTGCTGTACACGTGAACTAGGTTTCCGGGAGCCTCGTGCACCGCTTGACACCTGTGGGACTTCAGAAAAAATATCCGTTAGGCGCAATTGCTCTGGCCATGGTAAGTCAGCCACAGCGAAAGGCCAAAACCGGGGTGAAAGAAAGGAAACGAAGATGGAAACGAGCCAGGGTTCTCAACTGAATCCTCCCTCCCCCCTACCCGCAAGTCTCGGGGGTAGTCCACCCCTAATCTGTAGTCTACAGTATAATGGACTACAGTAACACAGTCTCGTCGACTGGTTTCCCCTGAATTTCGTCGAAAACGTGTCCCTTAAGACCACACTTCAAAAATGCCTCCCAAAAAGCACAAGTTTGAGTAGCCCGATCGATCGTGTACGCAAACCTCTCCCAGACACCGATCACCAGAAAAGAAGACCGCGGTCGGTGAAAGCATGGTTGACGCGGATGAGACATTTACATAGCGTGAACAGAGCAACTTGTTGCCTCTTTCATATCGCAGACACGATGGCGTCAAATCTCGGCATAACTATGCATGGCGCTCTCGGCGAAACCATGGTTGACGCGCATCGAAAACGAGCGTGTGAGCGGAGCAACTACGATACGGCCGTGACTTACTTTCTGCTCGTGTCTGTTGGAACAATTTTTCCAGTGTATCTGTGAGGGGCAACGATTCGAGTCGAAAACTAGAAAACGCACAGAGTTTTGGGGCATTTTTTTCGCGGAGGACTGAGGAGACAGAAAAAAAGAAAAAGTTTGATGTGCATATTTAAGAGCTTCGTTAGTTCTCCCTGGCCGCGTCAATCTGATGATCTCCCCCCCCCCCCCCCCCCATTGTTCGGGATCAATAAACGAAAGCGATGGAAGTTTCCGGCAATCGGCGCTGCTTGTTTCCTCGTGCCTCAGATGTTGAAACCGGGTGGTTTGGCTAATTGTTTAGATCGCACGAGCATACAAACCCACGATTTTCATTTACAGCAAATATACGAAGGAACCCTCACTTGTAGTCGAAGTCCCATTCATCGATCATTATCAAGTCGCCCGCTTGTGCTCCTGCCTTCTTGAGGGCGGCGTCCACCCCCATGGCTTCCATCACGCGTTGGAATCTGGGTTCAGGCCAAGCGGAAAAACGGAACCAAGAGGGAAGGAAAGGAGACAAAAGAGTGTTGAGAGAGAGAAATAGAGAGCCAGCCAGCCAGAGTTGTTCTACTGGTTCTGGAAAGTAAGATGAACCGAAAGAAAATCGGGCGGAGTCACCCACTCACCCCCCACCCCACCCCCCCACTCGGTCGGCTTTTTATTCTCGTCGAGTCTTTGTGCTGTGTAAAATCTTTGTTGGAACGATCGGTTCACCGGGTATTTGTTAAGCCGCATGGACCGGTTCTTGCACGTTTCAGTGATCGCGTGAAGGCAGCCACTGGAGAACGACATGCGTACGACACTACAGTCTGCCCACAGACCGGCCAACCCTGCACGCCGAGACTTTCAAGCGCAGAACAGAACCGATCACGCAGGATGCGTGGTTGGCATGTAAGGGCTTGCACAAATCACGGCCCAGAATTTTCTCTGCAGGTGGTGACTGCGGGATTTAATAGGTGCCCAACTTGTCCCACGACCACTTCACGATAATTCGCGGTACCCAATGCACAGAGCGCCGCAGGTTGTACACGGAAGCACCCCTCCATGATAAACATGTCGATAGCGCCAGAAATTACCCCCCGGTGCGGTCTTCTGGATGGGAAGCCTACTATAGTCGCGATCTGCCCGGGTAAGACACCGGCCGCTCGTTTAGGACAAAATCAGAGTCTGTATTAAAAGTACGTGTAATCTTTATGAATTGCGGTATTTCAAATGCAGCCTACGATCATGTACCTTTGCACCGCCTCGTAGTAGTCCCACTCTGTCATCCTGGCGATCTGGACGATGCGGGCCCCGTGGACTCGGAACTGCCCCGGGTAGCTGGGGTCCGTTTCGATGCTGAAGCCGGTGTCTTCCGCGGCCGGGGAGTCGAGCATCTTCACTGCCTCCCCGTCGAACAGGTCGTCTACGGGGGGGAGGGAGTTCACCAGCTTGCGGAGGCGCCGCATCAGCTCTTGCGTGTTCTCGCCGGCAACGGCGCTATCAAATCAAATCGATTGTAGTGTAATGGCATGGTAACGAATGTTTCGTTTCGGCAAGGGAAGGGACGAGACGGAGGCGGGGGGGGGGGGGGGGGGGGGTTAAAAACCCGGCCCCCCAAAAAAAAAGGGTTGGTTGAAGTTTTTTTTTTTCCAAGGGGTTCCCTAAAACCTTTTTTGGGGGGGGGGGTTGGGGTTTTGGGGGAAATTGCCCCCGGGAGGAAAAATTTTTTGGGCCCAAAATTGTTTAAAAAAAAAACCCCGAAAAACAAAGGGCCCGCCCTTCCAAAAAGCCCCTTTTTTTCCTTTTCCCCCTTGGTTTGGGAAAAACAAAACCGGGAAGGGGCCTTTTTTAACCCCCCCCCCCAAAAAAAAACCCCACAAAAAAAAAATGGGCCCCCCCCCCTTTTGTTTCTGGGTTTTTTTCCCCCCCCCCCTTGGTCTGGTTCTTAAAAGAAGGGAAAAAAACCGGGGGGGGGCCAACCCCCCCTTTTTAAAATTTCCAAGTTTTTTTTTTTTT